GAGGAGGCTGGTAGTTTGGGGGCTCCATCGGGTCGGGGGAAGCTGTTCGTGGGGGAGCGCAATTGGGCAGGAAGGGGCACTTCAGTTGGTGGGGAAGCTTCAGTTGGCAGGGGGAGGTTGGGGGAAGGGGGATTCAGCAGGTGGGGGGAGGCTGGTGGCAAGGGGGGTGCAACCATCTTAGAATTCTCCTTTAAACACACTTGAGGAGGAAAAAGTTAAATAAAAACATCAACAACAAAAACCAAACAAAAATGTAAAAAAGAAGCAAACACACTGGGCCACTTGGTCCTGTTCTGCTGCTTCTCTTCTATATTTCCATGTCATAGCCCTGGCTCTGAAGGTGCATGGAGTGGGCATTTCCATCGGCAGTGTCACTTTATAAAGTCGCATTGATTTCTGGTATACCTACAGAGTCACCATTGACCATCATTCTGCATTTGTCTGCACTGTGAGGTGGTGTAAGGCTGCGCCCTGGTATATGCATTCTGTATGTGTACTCAGCTGCTTCGTACTTTCAGTTCACTGACTCAGTTTCAGCTCAACCACCGGAAACCCAACTTTTTAAAGCAAGAGGTTTGTTCGCAGAGGAGAAAGAGGAATCGAGCAGAGAGGAGGGTGGAGAGCTGAGTGTTTGGAGCTAGAAAGGTTCCTCTTGCTCAGCCTGTCAGGGCCTAAGGTCCAGCCTGGGTGGGTGGGGTGTGTAGGGAAGGGGGTGCATGGAGGAGGACATCTGCCTTCCCTTCCTGTAGTCTCAGGTCTGAGACTGCGTATCCTGGCCACAGGCGGACCATGGACGATGTAAGTTACCCATCACCCTATCCAGCTTTGCTTCTGTCACCTGCCTTTCAGCTCCGCGCTTCTAAATGAGCCATCGGTACCTTCTTTAACCCTTTCCTGGCTGAGGATGCTCCTGCATCCCATTTTCCCGTGTCCTAATTCCTTCTTTCCTTCCAGCTTGTACGAAGGGCTGAGTAAAGGGAAAACACAGGCTCAGAATTGTTCGGTCGTACTAGCCCGCTTGTCCGTTGTCACAAACCGACTTCTCCTAAAGCAGGGCAGGAACGGTTAAATTGGTGTCAACTTTACTGTTTTGGCCGTCAAATAAAGATGCTGAGTGCAAACATTGCACAGATCTCTGGCCAGCCTCCTTTAAATGAAGAGATTTAGAGGAAATTGCTGTCTGCTGCCAGGAACAAGAGAATCAGCTCTTTCCTAACACATCCCCGGGGTCTGGGACTGGATCAGGAGACGCGGACCCACCACACAAGCACTCGCATATGTGAATGCTTAGGAGAGGGGCACGTCGTGAGCGCTGTGTGCTTGCCAGCATAGAAGGGGTTACTCTCCCAACAGCTGGGTGTCAAGCTGTTGTAGCCGCTCTCTACAGTGACCAGATTGTACTCTGAAATCACAAATGTTTTGTAGCTGATTAAAAGTTTCCAGCTCTGTCCCAGAACATGTTCACCGCACTTTTACCCTGCAATTACGGAAGGAGAGTTCTCAGAAAGAGAATGTTATTGTAGAGGTGGCACAGGACTTTTCATTAGGGAAGGGTGCTCAAGAAAGAGTAAGGGGGTGGGGGTGTAATTGGAAATGCCCAATATTTATGTATAATCGTATATTTTTACATGTTGCATGTTGCAGTGACATTTTCTAGAGTTTATGACCATCTATCATCTCTATATAGCTATCCCTTAGAAGTCCAGGAAATCTAAATATTAACCCTTGCAGGGTTAACTGCTCGTTGTGGTCCAGGGGCTAAAATAAAGAAGATATACTCACCAGATTCTCGGTCCTGCAGCAGTGAGTGCTAACCTCTCTTCCTCTGGTGGTGGAATGTCCCTTGGCATCCTCACGTCTAATGGACCTGCATTAAACGTGATGATGTCCTTAGACCGACCAGGATCTTGACTGAGTATATTTTCTTTATTTTAGCCCCTGGACCCAGGGCCGGTGCTAGGATTTGTGCCCACACATGCAAAGTTGCATTTTGGCACCCCCCTCCCCGACCCCCTGTAGCGCTGGGTCTGCTCCCTATCAGCATGTTTTTTTTTTCTTCACTTACCTTCGGTGCGGGAGAGCAGCGGCGAGTCAGCGCTGGTCCAGTGGGAGGAGCTTTAGGTGGGGTCCTAATCTAGCTGGCCGGCAACTGCCAGAGGTGCCACACGTGTCGGGATCCTCTGGCAGTCGCTGGCCAGCTAAATTAGGACCCCACCTGGAGCTCCTCCCACCGGACCAGCGCTGACTCGCCGCTGCTCTCCCACACCGAAGGTAAGTGAAAAAAAAAAACAAGCATCGGGGCATTTTAAAAAGTACTTGTCAAAATGCCCTGTTTTTTCCGCCCTCACCCTGCAGCGCCCTCAGGCGGCTGCTTGCCTTGCCTTGCGGTAGCGCCGGGCCTGCCTGGACCAAATTGATTGCAACAAATAATAGTTCATTTTGAAGGATTTAAAATGAAAGATGCAGCTGATGCACCAATTGTAAATAAAATCCCAAGTGCTCATAAAAAGGCTTAAAAGAGAACTATGGGTTTTTCCCCCCCCCCATAGTTCTCTTAAGGGTCACGGGAGGACATATACTAGCGCCCTCATGTGACCCAAAGCTCAGTATATAGCGAGCTACAGCTCACCGTATACTGAGATGCCGCAGCCGGGACGGATCCCGACATTACTGTCGAGATCTACCCAGCTGCGTGAGTGACAGCTGGCTCTGCCTATCTAGAGACAGACCCAGCTGTACCCGCCCCGTCCCTCCACTCAGCGCTGGAGAATCGGAGCGGGGAGGGGGGGGAATCCCTGCGCGGAGCCGTGAGTGACAGTCACGGCTCTCTGCAGGGAGATGATCGGTATGTGTTCGCTCACTTCCCTCTCTATTGAGCCGACGTGTGACAGTTTTATTTTCACACGTCGGCTCGAACTATGAGGATGAGTGATTTTCACTCACGTCATAGTTCTCCTTTAAGCTGGCCATACACCTATAGTATAGCTGCAGATTTTCCATGGTCAGATAGAAAAAGTGCTACAGATTCCTCCATCTACGCTAAACTGTGTGGATGGAGGAATCTTCCGTATCTTACTAGTCGGCCCCTGAACAATCTGATTGGATGCAGGCATTGTTCAGGTGTTTTGAGAGCCAGCGGGAGCCGAGTAGCAAGATGCTGAAGCTTGGCCCAGTGGGAGATTCCTCCATCCACACAGTTTAGCTTAGATGGATGAATCTGTTGCACTTTTTCCATCTGACCATAGAAAATCTACAGATAATCTATAAGTTTATGGTCATCTTTACAATCTGCTCCAAATCAATAATGGTTTGTTAGTATTTGGTGCAATAGAGGTGTGCAGCAATGGGCCAGAAATATGATGGTGCAAGTCAGTTACACATTCTACTATCCGCCATGTAAACTACATGCACTGTGACACTATAGGTAATTTGGGACAAAATTAGAGGTCACCTACGACAATTCACAATTTTCAACAATTGCCAATCTTAAACTGGCCATATACACTGGTAGATATTTGAACTAATGATCATATATAAAATCTCGTCAAAACATTTGATAATGCCATCAGAGACTTGACGATTGTTCTGTTCAAGTCGTCCTCTAGAAGCTATTCCCACTGCCGGAAACTCAGCTGCAGCTTGCCACTAAATATATGACTGAAACCACTGAATTTCTCTTTAAGATAGGATACAGAGATGACTCCTTCTGTCCTATGTGTGGATTCCACCATGGATCCCTGATCCACTTGTTATGGCGCTGCCCTAAACTGGTGCGCTGCTGGCAAAAGGTCACATGTACTCTTAATTCTGTTTTTATTGTTATGTTTACTCCCTCCCCCCTTCTATGTCTTCTGGGTGTCTTTGATGGTCCAAATATTGATCCTCCTCTATTGTTGGCTCTTAAACTAGCACAATTTACAGCCACCCAACTCATTGTACGTAAGTGGATCTCGCCATTTCCTCCTAAGGTTTCTGATTGGAAGGTGGAACTTGATTGAATTATAATATTTGAACACATTACTTATCAGTCCAGGGGCTCAGTACACAGATTTTACTAAATATGGTCCAAGTGTCTTTGTGCCCTGCTTTGGTGCTTACCTGATCTCCCTGATGGACGATACCAGCTCTCACCCCATTCCTCTTTCATGGTCACCATACAACCCCATCTGCCTAGATTTGTCTTGTATAGAGGATATGTACATGTCCTTTCATTTATCAGTTTTGATTTAGTCTAACAGGATGTGTGTATCCCTGTGGTATGGGTTATATGCTTATTACCTTCCACTCTTTTTCCTTTTTGCATTTTACCTTTTGCATTTGTTTTTTTTTAAAGTTAATACTATCTGATTGAAAAAAAAAAAAGATATGATTGAAATATTTGGTGTTTTAATGAGGTTAGTGGTATTTCAGAGGTGAGGAGATGGGATTGATGTACTAAAGAGCTAGATCGACTCATACGTATTACACAAATCTGGACAGTAGTGATGCCAGACTTGTCACTTAGATTTGCCAGGCAGTGTGTTGATTGATTGTCTCTAATTTATGTTATTGGTTTTGATATTGTCCTGTGATGGAATACAGAAATATGTTGGTATAACATAATGTGTATATATATATACTGTATATTAGAGGCTTCTCAGCACTTCCTGACCTGAATGGAATGACTAGGCTGTCAGACTTCAGTCTTTTATGGTCATGGGACATCCTTGTGTCCTCTGACATCGAGATCATTAAAAGGGTTCATTTGTATATAAATATGAGGTGGTGTGGCAACATGATCAGCAATGGTAGCAGCCTAGTGGTCCCTGGAAGTTCAGTTGAGACCCCAAGATTCAATGTAAAAATCATTTATATGTATAAGTGTAAAGACTTTAATTTTCATATTGCACATGTCAGTTAAATTGTGTTTATTTGGTACGTATACTATATGGCCATAAGTATGGACACCTGACCATCACACCGTAGCTCCCAACTGTCCCAGATTTGGAGGCACTGTCCCTCTTTTGAAACCAAATCCCTGAATCCCTCTTTCCTCCTCAATTGTTCCTCCTTATGGTCTGAAGTATAGATCTATTTAAAAAATGTATTAGTTAATGACCCAAATTATTAGAATGTACTAAGCTCTTGATCTATTCTCTAAATATTGCCTTTGCTACTTTGAAAAGCCAATAGAAAGGCTGTGACTGGCGAAAAAGCACTTGCGGGTTCAACTGGAAAATGTTTTGGATATTAATTCTTCAAGATTGGTGTAAGTAGAGGCGAGGCAGGGGTGTATGCTTTGCCTACATTCTGTGTTCTAACAGTTGTCCTTCTTTCCCATCTCAGAAAGTTTGATGTCCCACATACAGTATATGGCCTTTTTGGACTTCCTGTTCCAAAACCATAGGCATTGATATGGAGTTGGGCCACTCTTTGTGTGGCTTTGAGAGCCCAGTGGCGTCCCCAGGCCAGATGTCACCCGGAGCAGATAACGGGTGACACCCCGCCATCGCGCATGCACGTGACTTCAGCATGCACGTCCGCGATGACGTCATCACACATGCGCGGTCATCTTTTTGATACCTGCCGGCAGCCATCTTGGTGATGGACTCCGTCAGAGAGAGGAGGGCATGTTCACCTGGCGAATTAAGGTATGCCACCGGGTCCTCTCCATGACCGAGTGCCCGACTTTTCAGAGGGGGTGACACCAAAATGACTGTCAGTGACTGTCAGTCATTTTGGTGTCACCCCCTCGAATGGTGTCACCCAGGTACGGGCTGCACCCCCCTTGTGACACCACTGTGAGAGCCTCAAGTCTT